GTCACTTCCTAGCAGTTGGCGTGTGAAGCGTCTTTAAACATCTTCTACTCTTATCTTGCCTGTGGTACTCATATTAGCGATGATCAAAGAGCAGTATTCAAGGAAAGGTCGTATACATATTTTGTAGAGAGTAAGCTTAGCCTCTGTTGTGAAGAAATTTCTCGTTATGCAACCAATTAGCCGTTTACATTTAGAAATAGTAGAGGAGGCATGTTCTTCAAAGTTCAGGCTTCCTGTTGTCTCGCTTCAGAGTTATATTATTCAGGTAGTCTACTAGGCATGTATCGCATGATGTGGACCTAAAACACCCATTGCTGGAAGGTCGAGATGAGATTATTAGTAAGTAGATGTTGGACTACAGCCGCCTTAACTACTTTTTCCATCACTCTGGATACCACTGAAGTTATGTGTATGGGCCGGTATTTGTCGACATTTGCTTCAGGTCCTGTTTTAATTTTGAGAATGTTATGTGCAGTTTTTCAGACAGTAGGTTAACATGCTGTAGACAGTGATATCGCGAATAGTTCGAGAAGCAAAACACACATATCATCACCTCGATATTTTAGCATGCTAGCTGGAATACAATCTGGTCCATCACTGTAGGAGTGTTTCAGTGTACTAACTACCTTAGAGGTATTTTGTACATTGAAGTCTACATTAGTAATTTCACAGGGAGGCACTGGGATTGGTTCTGAATCATTAAATGGTTTTTCGTTAGTTAGTGAGAAACAAAAGTGTTCACTAAATAGTTCCGTAAAATGTTTAGGATCTTCATACACTTGTTTGTCTATAATAAATACGTTTTCTCCTTTCGATTTAGTACGTAAAGGTTTATTTTGATGGGGCTTGATAAGTGCGGAGTAGTTATTAATAAGTTCGATAACGCGTTTTTCTTGTGCGTCACCTCTCGATTTAGAACGTTTACCTTAGTTTGAAGGAGTATGGTGGGCACAGAGGAGTTATTAATGTTATACCCCAAAGCTGCCAATCAGAAGCAGCGAATTATCGATCGGACCAAGGACGCGCAAAACACGTGCGAGCAGCCTAGAGTTCTGATTAGTCCCGCTTTCCGACTAGCCCAGCCAGAAAAGTCCAGAACACCGGTCTCCGCCTCTGCAATATGAATCATTATATTTCAAATATACTGAGCTTATATACCAGTCAAACTGGCCACAACGTATCATTAAATAGAAAATAACATGTTAAAAGTTTGGCCATATGTGGCTGTGAATGTGGGAGGCAGTGACTAGTAGACAGGGCATAATTCAAGAATGATAAAATTTATAATAATGGTCCATAGGTCAAAATAAAACTTTTAATAGGAGGAACATGAATATGAACAATTTAGTTATTTAACAATTATACGATAAAAATATACGTTTAGTATTGATCTATTAAAGGATCCCAAAGCTAACATTCATTATGTTTCTCGGGACCTTACAATTAAGTTCGACAGCACGTTTTTCATGCATGACTGTTTTTTGTGTACGTACTGCCTCTATTCGGACAAATATTTCTGTCATGGTTATTAAAGAGGAAAAGTCATTTAAGTTGTGGAATCGAGTACAGTGTCTTTGAAGACGTCTTCGTGTACCGACCGGTATATACAGATCTTTAGAGGACGTAGGTCTCCAGCATTCTAAAGGTGCGGTTTTGTTGACGATGCTTCTGATGTTGAGGTAAAATGTAATGGTTAGTGTGTCAATATTTTTTGCAGTAAAGAAAGTTCCCCGATCAGTGCTTCCTAGGTAACTGTAGAAGTTATTCCAATCAACCTTGCGATAGTTTCTACGAAGTGTTACGCTTTCACGTCCACCGGTTGTGGTTTTATATTAAGGCTACATATGGCAATGTTGTGATCACTACCTGGAAAGTTTTTTCCAATAAACACAGTACTGAGAGTGAGGCCACTGGTAAGGACTAAATCCAAGATATTTTGATATCTGGTAGGGCTATTGACATACTGAGTCCACTTTTCAAGCTCTGAACATTCAACAAACGATTCATAACGCTTCGGCGCCTTGACTGGGAACCAAGAAATTTCGGGCATGTTGAAGTCACCACAAATAAGCTTGCCTGTGAATGGAGGGGATGACGCTAGTGTGTATACGTCCGATAATACTATTTCACCTACTGATGCGTTAGGTTGACGGTAGATACAGCCGAACAGTAAGGTAACGGAATTCGACGGCTTTAAAACAATCCAAACTCAATCCTTCAGTTTTTTAGTTCAGACATATCACATAGTAATGAGTTTAAGCTAGAGTGAGTGTAAATAAGGCATCCTCTGCCTCGTCCTTTCAATCTATCATTTCCATACAGAAAATAGTTATCAAGAGATATACTTCGGTCGGAAATATTACTGTTAGTCCATGCTTCAAATATCATTATAAGTGATGGCTGATATATGGTTACAAACAGGGCCAAGTCCGTCTTCTTATTGCAGACCAATCTAGCGTTGTTAAGACATATATTAACCAAATGGCCTATTAAGTTAAAATGACTGAGAGTATCTCGAATAAAGTTGTCGTAACTTTCGCGGGTGTGATGTGGGTTTAAAGTGAGGGACTGAATGTTCTTCACTAGCTCGGTATTTCGATAGCCATAGTGTGAGATGTATCAAACGAGCTAATGAAGTTGATTGGGGAGTTTGCCCAGGGGGAAGGGTGGGACAACTCTCTGATGGAAACTGTACGGGGGAAGCAAGTTTGTGTTTTGCATGTGGTTTGAAATGACGGGCTATACGCTTCAACAGAGGTGTCACTAGGGGTCGTATTCCAAAAATTTTCCTTTCTGAGAGTAACTACAATTCTCATCCTGGGGAATGTAGATAGGGTGTGAGGCGAAAAGCCTGATAAAACCACTCTTACTAATGGTTTGAGGCTTTAGTGGGTGGTTGGAGTGATCAGTAATTAGGTCGTTTCTGTTAGTCAGCGTGTAAAAAGGCCTGTTACGCTGAGGCCCATTGCCCAGTTTGCAGCTTAGAGGTGTTGACGGCAAGTCATATTATATCGGCTGAGAGAACCTGTCCAAGCGCTCGCTTAGTTTGTCAGTGAACATACGACGGCAGTTCTAATAAGAGTGCAACGGCCACCATCTTTGTAGCAAATATTTATTTTCTGAATGTAATATAGTGCTCTTATTTTTCATAAGCAGAACACATCCCAGTTAAAAAATCGGAGCAAAGGGATGATATACAGCAGATGAAGATTATGTGAATTGTTTTCACTGATTGCCTGAAGTATGGTATAAGAATATTATCTTGGCAGTTTCGTGTCGGTTTAAAAGGAAAATATGAGCTTGAATTGTGTTACATTTTATTTTATCAAAATCTCCAGTTACAGGACCTAGTAACCAATGAAAGTGCATGGACTTCACCCAAAAAATATAATTTGAAATAAAGAAGGCCGAATTCTAAAGGTTGTTTTGTATAACACTAAACCTGAAATGCCTGTTTGCCTCACCAAACGCAAACTTCCTGAGTAAGTGCAATGTTAAGTGCGGACAAATCTTGACAAACAACTGACAACTGAAAATTTTGTTAAATACTTTATGTTGCAAGAATGTTTGTGAAACAATATATATGAAGCTATTGTGTACCAGATAACATTGTAGCGCCAGTGAAAAGTCAATGGGTCCCAGCCAATTTACCCATCAGTTATGTCACTGGATGTTGAACAGTTCACCGATTTCGTCATTGTCAAGGACAACCAACGTGGGTCAGTTAACTGAATGCGATGGACTAGTTCATGAGGTGGTGTACGCACTCCGTTTCTTGAACCCACTCGTGCTGACACATTTCTGTAATAACATCGTTTGTCTTATAAACCATTAAAGTAGTCATAATACCTAAACACGACGAACGCGTAGTCCACGATAAGTACTAGCCATGAGGTGTGACTTCGAAGTTAGCTATTGTTCACATTATTCTCGTCTGACTTATGTAGACCCCAACCATCCAACATAGATCATCTACGATGATATATGTCACACATCGAGCGAAACATGACTCGGCAACCGGCAAACCTTTATATATGAAGAAGTAAACAATTATTATTTACGGTTTGACTCCACGACCTGGATTTTTCGGCTTCCTCTTACGGACTAAACAACGAACCAACCCATAATGATAGCGGCTCTCTGAACCTTCATCGTTTAACTTGCCTTCATGTGACACGTGCTGTGTCTAGTCCATGTGAAAATGTTGGATGATATATTTTCAATAACTAACCTTCTTCAAGTGATGCACAGCATCTCTGACTTGGTCTAAGTTTGTTAGATCATTGGGTCTCTCAAACCTTTCGAATTTATATCTGGGACCCACAACTGCACACTCAGTATTTGTTCGACTCTAACGAAGGGGTTTGTTCACAATATTAAGAGAAATAGCAGACAGGACATCGTTTACTTTCGAGCTCTTCGATAAGCAGCACTTAGAAATATGCATGCGGACAGTTAGAAAATCTCATGTGGCAGCAACATTGATCATAGGAGAAAAACAATTGCGCTTATGTTTGATATCTACAAGAAAATACTCAAAACAAAATGTATTAAAATTCTGTAATGTAAAACACGTAAACTCTCCGGGAGGAATACGCTGACCTGAGTATTAATTGTAGTGAAAGCCGAAAAAACAAACCTCTTCGGAAAAGTGATTATTTAGATCACCATATAAATTACATGAATTTTACACCTGGAAAGATCGACTACTGCAGGGACACTTAAAAGCCGGCATAAAAACACAGAGCAAAGAAAGTCGAACGTCATTGCTTGGAAAAATGGAGAAAATGATGGTTTCCGCTTCATTCTGATTGACTTTGGAATGCTAGTATGATACACCCTACCTCCAAAATACATGTATTAAATAGTTCTTTACAACTAATGATGATATCATTGGTTTCACTGACAAACCTTGGCTGAATGTGATCAGTCAAACATTATCTTTAGATCATGAATAGGTACGCCGAAGTCATTTCACAAATAAATTGGACATAAAAAGCGACCTAGTATCAATTTACGAAAGAAGCGTTACTGTTTCTCTTTACTAGACTATGGCAGCGCACACAGTCTTTCATTCCGATAGTCGTGTATCAAATATTTCTACAAAGCAAAAACGCTTGGCGCATATGTTTCTTAGTCCATTTAGGCGTCTCAATCACAATGGCAAGAAACGTCCGGATAAATATCTGCCTTCTGCTGAACTGGTAGGTAGTTGCAGGGTTGATTTAAACACAAATGGTGGTCTTGAAATCCTCCCAGATTCCGCATGCTTTAATTCAGGTTAGTAATTTACATTGTACCTCGACTCTTAAGTTTAATTTTATCAGCTTACTCAAGTTTCGCAATATTTGGTCTTTTTGTTTTAGTTCAAAAGAGCTAACTCCTAGTTGATGGTAAGTATACATAGAAACTTATTACGGTGTATGTTAACTTCTTGACTCATCACAAGCATCAACAAATTGCATGAATCGCACTGTCGTCACTGCTTTAAGTCAGTCAGTCAGTCAGTCAATAACAACGTAGAACTTCGTACGTACTTACATCAGTTACAGTTGCCACACCACATTAGCACAGAGATGCAGTGGTCAATTCAAATCCCATAGTGGTAGAGGTAGTAAGAGTATAAGCAGTAATCAGGAAAATTAGTGTTTGGAGATGTTATTTAAAGAGTATAATACAGTGAAATAAATTTGGGAAGAGAAAAAAAGAGACAAGGAGGAATAAGATCAAAATTTGGGAGAACACAAAGAGTATATGCACCTGCGTCATTGCAAACGATTTTGAGCCATGTCATTCTGGGTCTCTAACTATTGGTTGCTATCATCTCGCGGTCTCCAACCAGGTAGTCTACACCTACCAACATGACTCAGTCCACTTGTCAGTGACTTCATGGACTTGTGCCATGTTTTGGTCTGGCCGCCCCTAGCTTTCTTCCGACCTACTCCTGTACCACTGAACATCTCACGTCGAGGCAGTCGGTCGTTGGGCATACGTAACACATGTCCCAGCCATTTCAACTGATAAATTCCCACCACTTCATCAATCGATTTGCCATCCTTACCTAGTACCTGTTTCCTAACAACTGTGTTACTTACTCGATGGTCCCACGATATACGAGCAATATTTCGAAGACACATGATCAAATACTAGTAACCTACGAATATCCTCTACTCTTACCGACCATGTTTCACTGCCATAAAGTAGGACGGAACGAACTGCTGCGCAGTAAACACGTCCTTTGGTTGATAGACGGATATCTTGCCTACTCCATAACTGACGCAAGTTGGCAGAAGCTAGTCGAGCCTTCTGTATCTGTGCTGAGATTTCGTCACACCAGACCACAAGGGCTGATGAGACTTCCAAGATAAGTGAAGCGATCGACACGCTCAATTACTTCACTCCCTATCATTAGTTCGGGTGTCAATGCAACCCAATCCTGAAGCAACATTTTACATTTCGAGGGGGAGAATCGCATGCCGAACATGCTTGCATTGTTGCCTAGAGTGGTCAGAAGACTCGGCATTTTGTCAGCGTCTTCGCCAAATAAAACTATGTCATCAGCATATTCTAGGTCAACAAGTGAACCTCCCGGTAGAAGTTCAACCCCTGTAAATTTAGATGAGGAGAGTGTTATCTCTAAAAGTACGTCGACGACAAAGTTGAACAAGAACTGCTTTAAGTAGGTTTCTTAATTCTCAAGAACTAAATCCAGTCATACTATTATTTAAAAGTCTGTAATATTATTACAGTGAATGCAAATAAGAACTGTAATCGTTGGATCGTGCTTTTGAGTTTCGTTTTTTTGAAGGACTGGTACTTCAAATCCTAGTTGAGTGTTTCATTTATTTAGAATCCACTTAGTGAATTTTTACCTTGAAGTTACTCAATCATGTTTATCAGATCTATTTTTATGTCAGATAGTGATTTCTTCAAAATCCACAAGTATCGCAGTATGTGTTTTTGTTTTAAGTGGAAATATATACTTCGAAATTGTTTTTTAAGAAGGTATGAGATCTTTTTATTTGCAAGTACCTGTAACTAAGACTTAATAGTGTCAATGCACTGTACAAATTTTTTCTCATTCGGTGTCTCTATATAAATAGACATCGAATAAAACTCGAAAAAGGAACTAGTTTTAAAACAAGTGCCGTGTCTTGGTGATCAAAGCAATCTTAGGCGAGACTTTCCATCCTCAACATTATGAATATGAAATGAGAGGAAGTTTTAGCTAAAGTTGTTAAGTGAATCTATTGTCTCAAGGCTGTCTTCCAAGACCTCATCAAGCGATAAAACCAAGCTTTATATCGAGCTATTTTCAGTGTTGTTGATTTACTAGAAAGCCCAGTTGACCATTAGCTGGATTTACAATGCACTAATAAGTAATTGAGTCTGGTCAATTTTTATGAGTTACTTTAGCTCATATAAATTACTGGTATCAAGAATTTTAGCTTTACCCAAACTCTGAATTTAATTTGGCATAGTGAAGGTCCTCAAATAGGTGAAAAAACGACGTATGGATGACTTCAAGCTCACTCATTTAGCCACTGCGACCGAATTCCTCAGCCAAAGAACCCTAGTTCATTTTGTGGTGGATGTGCACAAACAAGCTTTAGTCCTAAAACACCGCAAGATATCTAATCTCATAGTTTACTGTGTCTGTTCTCAAGGACATGAGTGACATTTAGAAAAATGTATGGAAAACTAGGTGTCATTAATTAGCATGCAGTCCTCTTGTACCCATCACACTAAGGATATCACACAATTGATGTTCAGCGCTTTTGTTCAATCATTTTTCCTTTATTCTTGTGGCGCGTGAAATCTTTCCGCTGAATATATTTAACGCCTCTATTGTACTATCTCTGTCCACAAAGGACTACTCGAATCCGATGATAATACTTTTTTTAAGCAGCATCGATGTTAAGCGACGTGTTTCCGTACAGTAGAGGTCATGACATTAGGCGTTCCCATCTTGAGCGGAATCGCTGTTATTTTAACTGTATGTGTTTGTACTATTATTATTTTGTCTAATTAATATGTCGAAATTTTGTCTTGTGTGACTAATTTTTTAATATCAAACAGTTTGGGTATATTAAGTGAAAGTGAAATATGTTGTGTAAGTTATTCAAAAACATACAGCTACACGAAGTTATAACCCTAATCTGCTTTAAATCCTGCTTTCTCACGTGTCTGAGAATAAGATATTTTACTCCTACTGCAGTTGCAAATGTTTCTTGGTTCCAAACTGCTAATAGTTAAAGTTGAACTGCAACACTTCAGCCGGTGATCGAATTTACTTCTCCCGGACGTCACAACTCAATACATCACATGTTTCAATATCATGCAATTTTTATTTAACCCTTAGTTTGTGAAACTGCAGGGTGTTTCAGGAGGAACATTATTTTTTTAAATTTTGACCACCCTTTTGACTTGCAACCTTATTAGTTTTAATAAATATATACAAGACATGCCTCTGTATTAGGGAATCTATCCGATTCTAAATTTAATAGCTGTCTTAGTTCAGGATTCTGTCAAATATACTTAGAATATGTTTAAAATCACGAAAACTACCCAAAATCCTGAAAACATTCGGCTCCCATAGATGAAAAACCTTGGTGAATATACGGACTTGTATTTCTTCTCGTTCTGAATATTCTCGTTTTTTGAATGATAAGACGTTTCTCCCTGATTCTTGAAATGGCTAATCGGATAAGCAATTTCTTTGCTTTCAGCTTTCGATATCTTTCCGAAATTCGTTTCTACTAAATTTCGTTGTATGTATTATCCGGAAATCATTGACTGAGGATTATTATATAGATTAAAGTGATAATTGAAGTATGAAAGTCAGCCTTGACCACACAGTGATCAAGTAAGAATTTGCTTGTTTGATAGATTATTTGAAACTTTAGAATTAAAAGTCTTCGAGTCCCAAGTGAGTACTAGATATCCTTCCAGTTCAACTAAAAAGTTTCTGGTTATATCTTCATTCTGTGTCAAATTATGACACAAATGATTACTTAACAGGCCTTAATTCACTTTATTCCTCGACATATAAGGTATGTTTTGTCCCATTAAACAATTCTTGTCCCAGAGTTTCTTAACAGAATTGTACTAAACTGGTAAATGTTATTGGTGAAACTGTGTGCAAACACAATCACTTGGGAATATGCTGTGAGGTGATCAAGTTAAGTGACTCCACATCATCTGTCGTTGATTTACTAGTGACAAAAAACAATAATTCTTTCATCATAACCATAAATTCATAACATAAGGGTATACAGATAACAATCAATGTCCGTAGGTATGGTATGTGCTTTGCACCTTCGAAGTGCAAAGTACTTCTACAAGACTGGCAGGATTCTAATCCTGTACTCACCCTGGATGGTGAGCAGATAGACGTAGTTGAGAAGTTCGTGTATCTGGGTAGCTGCATAAGTGCTGGTGGGGGTTTGAGTGATGAGATCAATGCACGAATAGTGAAAGCCAGAGCGGCTTATGCCAATCTGGGCCACCTTTGGCGCCTTCGTGATGTTAGTCTGGCTGTAAAAGGCCGGATCTACAACGCGTCGGTGAGAGCAGTTTTGCTCTATGCTTGTGAAACCTGGCCTTTCCGAGTTGAGGACGTTAGACGACTCTCTGTGTTCGATCATCACTGTCTCCGAAGGATTGCTGACATCCAGTGGCAACACCATGTCAGTAATGCAGAGGTTCGGCATCGTGTGTTCGGGCACAGAGATGATAACTCAATTGGTGTCACCATCTTGAAACACCGACTTCGGTGGCTTGGACATGTTCTCCGAATGTCGTCCCAGAGAATTCCACGTCGTGCATTATTTGCCGACTCTGGGACTGGTTGGAAGAAGCGGAGAGGTGGTCAGTGCATGACATGGTGTCGTGGCATGAAAGAAAGCTGCAAAGGACTGGCTTGTGTTGGTCCTTCACGACTTCCTGGCTGGGGTCCGAGAGATGGTGCTACACAGTGGCTAGAGACGTTATCAGATATGGCTCAGAATAGAAGCCAGTGGCGATCCTGCTGTAAGCTTCTTTTACTTTCTTCATAAAAAGTGGTTGTGTCTCCTTTACCTGAAAGATTTCTTCTGATTGTACCTTATCGTCATTACTCTCTTTTTCTTTTGCGTTCCTTAGTTTTTTTTTTTCTTCTCTTCGAATTCCCATTGTTTTGTGTGGCGCATATATATTGGCGCTCTCTTGTACCAATATTTATGTGTTCAAATAAATAAATAAATAAATAAATACAGATAACATATTCTTGTCAGTTAATTTCAATCAAATGTGCATCCTTTTAGTCACCTAGGGCAATATATATATAATACCTTTTCGTGTTTGTTTTCAATATACTATAATGAGAATCTGTCCTCAATATTGTTTTTCATATGTGTCATTTCGTTAGAAAAGTGTCATGTTGACTAAATATGTTAACTAATTAATTTGCTCGCGAAGAATCGCATCAACATAATCAGTTTACGGTTCTAAAAAACCGCGTGGTATGTATAATTTTAGTCTTCTTATAGGGTCGTGATAAAAGCCCACTAGTTTAACCCAGCTCTTAAATCGGTCAATCTTCTTCGAGCTGAGTTAATCGGTTACTTCATTACTATTAGTCGGAATTTTTTAAAATAATTTTTATATATTTTTATTGTGAGTTAAAATTCAATCTAAAGAAATACATTTTTTTGGTTCATGCTGGATAACTTAAAACACTCGTTTTATTGTATTATATTGGGTTCACTTACGAGTTAAACTGCAGATTTATTGTGCACTTTTACAAGCCAATTCCTTTTTTTTTTGTTGAATGTATTATCCATGTTCATTGATAATTTAATATGAAAAAATATATTTGTAGTGTACTGCTTTGCCTTCTAATCATAGTTTTCTTTCATGAAAAAATCTTGGATTTTACAATTAGTTTTATATCATACCACTGGGTATATTGGTAATAATATTTGTACTCTTGATGCTATTGTGATGTGTGTTACTGATGTCGACAGATATAAGTAGTATGTGTCATCATTCGAAAGTGAAATGCCTGGCGGCAGAAGGTTAAGAAGATCGGCGAAAAGAGGAAAAGAACAGAAAATAATTGCTGTGTAAGCGAAGAAACAATGAAGTCTGAGACGACTGATTGACATTTCGCAAACTAAGTATTTACTGTATCGTTCTTAGATTTTACTAAGATGTTATGTAACTGTGTGTTCAAATACATTCAGTTGTCCCTACTTGCGTTTTCGTCCACTACTCTATTATTACGTCGCTTTTTGTTGATAATTTGTTACAACTTATGTGCTGTACGTGCATAAAAGTTATTGGATTGAATCTCTGCTGAAGATGAATTATGTAGGATTCTGGTGAATAGAATTTGCATGACTTCGTCTTTTCAGTTGTCATAATAAAATGATCTAAGTATTTTTTTAAAGGGTTTATTTCAAGAGGTGTTAACTAATCTCTTGATTAGGAGCTTCTCTTTCTGGTGAAAAACTTTATATAAATAGTGGTTTCCTAAGCAGAAATACTTTATACAACCTTCCTAAAATTTATTATAAGTTGAGTGGGCCTAATAATGATAATTACCTTTGTGTTATCTTCTCCCACTTGTTAATTTTGATAAGCTTCAACTCACATGTCTAGTTAATCAACTTTCTACCATTGGATCATGGTTCCTAAACCGATCTATTCAGATATCGAAGTATCAGTAACCCTTACCTAATAGATTAGGTTCACAACCTTTTGCATGAATCTACATGTTGATGTTTGTTATGGACTTTTGTTCCCAGTGACTGACTTACAACAAATAAATGATCATCAAGTTTCCTCGTCGGTGAAAAGTTCTTGTTAGTTATGTATCACATTCTGTAGAATAATACGATGTGAGTGCTTTTTCTTTTTTTTTTCTAGAATCATGTTCTCTTGAAAGCAACTGCCAACCAGAAAAATGCTCTATTCCAATAGTTCATCTTGAACCACATGTTAGTCCTTGTTATTCTGTAAGCCCTATTTTTGGTTCGATTATGATATGTTATTCAGACTTCTGTAACTCAATCCCACTTCACCGAAGCCGATAATCCTATGAGTGAATTGAATACTTATGTCGGAGAGCAGACTACTGAATTAGCTTCGAGTATCAAGCAACGCTCAATGACTCAATCATCTCAACCTCTTAAAAAGTTAAATAGAATAAAAAAATATATAACAAGTCACCAAGTAACCTATCCTCAATTGACACCGGTTAGCCGAAACGTTTTAACTCGCATTTCTGAAATATCTAACCAAACAAATATCGATAAATCCAAGTAATTAAGCTGTTTTCTTACTATTTTTCAAGTTTTTTAGGTTGTTTATTATGGTAAATTTATATTTAACTAAGTTATATGCTCGTTTATATGTTTTCACAAAAAAATTAGACTAATATTATTCAAATAATATCCTCAATCATTACAATCATTTTGAAGTCATTGTGATTTATATGCTGTTGTCATAATTATACTGGGTTTTTCCTGAAACATAATGGTAATTTTGTTTTGATAGACTATAATTAGTCTTTTATAAATTAAAATTTTTCTTACAAATTTTCGGTATGGGGTTGTGGATACTGTTGAATGTCACTGAAATCATAAACCGTTCCTAGTTAGACCACCAACAATCAAATTCAATAACCTTCACAACCTCATACAGAAAATCATAATGTGCTTACTAGTGACTAGCTGTCAGAAGAAATTTCCGGAGTTCTAGTGAAAAGCCGTGACCGATGAAACTAATCCGTGTCGGGTGTGAGGTAGTTACCTACCTTATACAGTGGAAGATATTCGTGCGATGCCATTGACCGGTTGAAATTAGACTTTTACACCACTGAATACCGGCTCAGTGGTCTATGGGTTAAGCGTTCGCGTGCAAAATCGAAGGTTTTGGGTTCGATTTACGCGTGTGGGATCGTGAATGCTCACCCATAAGGAGTCACATGCTAGGATGATATGGCCATCCAGTGCTTCTAGGCTTTCATTGGTGGTCTAACTCAGATCGCTTTATGATCTCAATTGTTTTTCTTACGTATTTGAAACCGGGATGTACATCTTGTCTTACTTGGAACTCGTTAGGTGGATGTACCAGCATTCAGATTTTACTGTTTCTTCTGAGATTTAGATACAGTACTATTTAGATATGAAGGGGAATAACCTTTAAATCAGTGTCCTATTTGTTGAAAGTCTAGTACTTCAAACACTGAAAATTTTTAAGTGAATAGGTTATGATGAAGTATTTAACTCAGTGTAATTTACGTTCAGCACTGCTTCCATATGGTTGTTCGAGTTATTAAAAGGTTTTCAATATGATTTTTTATATGCTCGGGACTAAATTTTCACTTAATACTTCAGGTATTTAAATCATCGTATTGACCTCTATATGTTATCCATAGGTTACTCAAACCTCAAGACTCTATCGCTTTCACAATGACTTCATTTTAATAAAAGCAGCTTTATTTCATGTGGAATAATATGACTTCAGTACTCAGAATCTCAAAACTGCTTACTATCCTATGGTTTACAATGCTTTCTGCCATGCTGGAAGACGTCCTTATCAACATCACTCTGAGAATTTTCTAAGTGTTTAAAGCCTTCATTCGCGCAATCATGTTGATTATGATATCGCACTCACTTCGATGCCCAATTCTAGAACTCTGTGGATAGTAATCTATCTATCATTCATAACGGTCTAAGCACTTGACAGAAGTAGTGTGAGTTTTTAAATTAACTGGATATTTCTACTATATCTTAACCTTCATGTGATAGAGAATCCTAAATCAATGCTTCATCGTTTACGATACTCCGTATTTCAGTACCTTTTAAATAATACTTTGTACATTATTCATTGCATTACTGTCTTGTACGCTTTTAGAATAAATGCAGTTTGTTACAATAAGAGAAATGTAAAGACTTCGTCCCCCGCTTGCAATATGATGGTTGTGCCCATATCTAAATCAGATTTCTATTTGGTAGGACGTCTTGTGAACGGTGAGACATATTCTAAGTCTGTATTTTCATCGGATTCTACGGACAATCTCCATTGCGACTCACCAGCTTCGGATCTTTACGTTTCCTCCAATAATATGAAACATTCTCCAAACTCAATGTTGTGTATGTACAGATCTCCCAGTAAATGCTCAAAAAACTCACAATCCTTCATGCATTCTTTGCAAAAGGATGGTAAATTCCCAAAACCTGGAAATTCTACCGCTGAAACGTGCGCGACTCTTATTGATCGTAATAAAGTGGCTGAATGTGAAACTGATGGTATTTGTTCTTCGGATTCGGTTAAAATTATTACATTCAATCCTTCACCAATCTTGTCAACTTCAAAAATTACTCATTTATCATCGTCATCACCAAGTCCAACCAACGATACGAAAGCGGCTGAGACCATACCTACTATTAGTCAGACATTGAAATACTCACATTTATCTAACCGTGCTTATCCTTTTGGCAAAGATTGTCGTTTTGTTTTTTACAATTCTGATAGTGATGAAGAAGATGCTTACAATTTATCTGCACCTAGCCAAACTCTCACTTCACTTATCAAGGCTCGTCAAGCGCATAAAGATATGTGGACAAAACGAGCTGATCGCATCAATCGCTTTTTAGCCTGTAGACCTTGTCGTGAAGACCTGATATCTAAAAATATAATTCCCAGTACCACTTTAGAAGCACGTACTGAACTGCGGATTGATATTGAAGCGTCACTTGAGCGTCGACTTAATCAACGTCCTACAACTGATGAACTGAAACAGAAAAACATCCTTCATGGTAATTTTCATGTGTCTTTGATTACAGGAACTTTCATGCTTGATAGGATATATATATATATATATATATATATATATATATATAGACTCTAACTAGACAAACATTGGAAAACAGAGGGCGTTGAGAAGTCGTTTCGTCTCTGTGCGGGACTCGTCACTTGTTTGGAATCTAACTTGAAGATGCGCATTGGTGTAAATCATGCCCAACTATTGGTGTTCGAAAAACCTCTGTACTTCATAGTTTGATAACATTCATTAATAATGTGTGTTGTTACTGTTTAGAGATTTGACAACTATGACTAGTAAACAGATCAAATGACTCAGTGGAGATCTCGTCTTTCATTTTGAACTCTTAGGCGAATACTTATACTTTAATATTTATTTATATATTTACACTCATTTGGAATGTTATGTTTATGTCAGTAATTAGTCTTCATTACTGTAACATGTTCAAACATACTCACTAATTTTATCTTTTAAATATGTTTATCCTAATCAATCAACATGACTTTTCATGTACTTGTTTGTGCAAACATTCTGTTTATTCAATAAGGATTCTGTTATTAAGAATGCATACAAATGTTTTCGTCTTCTTAACTACTCTTCCATTGACCAAGTTAATTGTTACTTTGCATTTCAGTGGACACCGAAGAGGTGCGTAATAAGATTAAAGAAGAACGAAAGCAAATTTTAACTCGCAAGGTAAACCCTACTTGTATATTTTTGTCGAATGTTTTCTAGTATGAAAGAGTATCCCATACAATGGTTTCTGACTATCGAATTCTTGTTATAATCTAAATTTTGTTTATATTGTTACAGAACTTTGAAATTTCTTCTTGATGAACATTAGAAAGGAAGTTATATTTGTTAACAATTTCAGCAGTTGAAGTTCAAATATAGGCCCAATGTTTCTCTCAGCTGTCTAATCTTTCTTCAGTAGAAATAATCAAACATCAAAATTATCGAATATAAACATTGCGTTTACAAATTGATTTTGTACTAAACAAATTGTCTAAGCATTGTTAATAATACTGAGAGTTTGTTGCAGTATGGGTATCAATCATGTGGTGTGAATTATAGAGAAATTTCGGTAAGATAAGTAGTATATGTGTATGTACGTAAATTTGACGTGAGAAAAAAATTATTAACCATATATGGCCTTACTCTATGATCGTTGATATAATTAAACAATCTGACAGATATTATAATCAACTAAACTTTTCACAATGAATCCATGTAGGTTTGTGTTATTATGCTGAACGAGCTAGTCGTTCACTTTATATCCAAACATATTAACTGACTGGAACAAATGAAAGTATACCGTTGTTGTCTGCAAAACATGAAACGAATTAGCAGCAGTTAGATCAAATTCAGATCTATTCGGTATTTACCAGTTGCCGTGGTACAGATAATTGTTTTCCATCTCTTCTATTCATATCATTTGAGTTTCCGTCTATACGCAGGGGATCTCAGTTGTCAAACTTCCTTTATACTAACCAAAAGCTTTGTTAAGGACTCTTGTCCCATTGAAGTCAACCGTATATTCAGATTCTGTTGAATGTAGTGCTATCATCTTAAATGCTTTCTAGTTTTTAAAGTTCTAAGGATTTAGGAATATGCTTCAAGCAAAGTCCGTATCCCGTCATTCTCACACTCACCTGCTGTGATGTTTTACCTATATATGTAGCATTAGTCATTAAATTTGACCGCATGGACACAATACAATTGTTCTTCTCTTAATATTGTGTTTTTGACTCTTGCTGGTGTACAGATTCTTAGAAACTCACCTTAGTAGATAGGACATGTGGTGACCTGCAATCTAGGTGTTGGCTTTCGGAATATATCAATTTTCAAAAAGTTGTTTCCTTTTAACCAAACAGTCAAAAAAATGATAGTTTGAGGCCAGCGGATTCAACCCATCTGATGAACTTAGTAATTGAACAATTCTTTTAATTCAAAGTCAGTTTGTGAACAAAACATTTATATTCGATAATTTTGATGTTTGATTATTCCTACTGAAGAAACTTGGATTGGACAACCGAGAGAAACATTGGATCCATATTAGAATTTCAACCACTCAGATTGTTCACAAGTATAATTTCCTTCTTAACATCTTTCATAAACCCAGAGCCTAACTATTTGTTAAAATTTAGACAAAATTTCTCGTAAAATTTGTTCCTGACACTTAGTGAGATTTGTATGTTGGTTCGATTCATTTTGTTTTAGTGTTTGACCCCTTGGAGACTTTGACTGAAATGAATGTAAGACAAAAATAATTTAGCTGAGATGGTGGAGATCTGTAGCTTAGGTGGATGTAAAGCTGTGAGCCACATGTGGAGAAATTCGAACACTTCACTTCTACCTCAATTTTGTGCTAATGATGTCGTTCAGAAGAACGATGAAATCTCCACGACCAAACCAACCAACTCAGAGAAAAAACCCCATCAAAATAATTTAGCTAAATGCTATATGAATATAGCACTGGGCTCATGTTTCTGAACTATGCTTATACGAGTGCTTTTTGAAGACTCGAATCATGGCATCCTCCGTTTGTCATCATGTAATTGTTGGTATACAGTTATATATAGTCCTATTTTCGAGTGCTTGTTAACTAAGTATATCTCCACCGTTAATATTTGATCATAAGAAATTTTCATTTTACAATCCGTCATGAAAACAAAATTGCTCTAGCATTCATAAACAATAAGTACTTTCCGCAGTGGCTTAGTGATTAAGGCATTTAATATTCAGACGCTGAGTATCAGCTTCGAACCCACCTCCATCTACTTTGGTTTGGGCAACTGAGTGGTTTAATTGACCCTCATATTTAGAGTTTGGCTCATGCCAAAGTACCTCGTGGATGAGTAAATTTTTAAAATGATTTATAGTAAATTTTAACCCTACTGTTGTTCCTGGGTCATAGATTTCTGATGAGGTATCTACGACCAGCTCTGTACTAGACTTTCCTTACAAAACTCAGATTGTCGATCTCGACTTTTGACATTTACTTAGGTTTTTGTTCGATATACCTACAATCTGTCGAGAACTTTGTTAGGTATTGACGATAGCACCTGTATTTATTTCACATTTACTGAAACCTTTCTTTGATATCTTGCTGAGATATCCCTATTCCCAGTCTGTTGGTATTGTTTTTCCTACCAAATCCTTCTGAAAAAGTATGTGAAATATCCTTGCAGTTACCTCTAAATCTAAATGCAATGCCTCAGCTAGATTTCTTTTTCGTCCTCCTCTATTCCTTACTCGGTTTGTCTGATTTCCTTGCTAATTTCTCCGATTGTCGCTAGTGTAACATTTATGTATAGTTCTGTGTGTGCTCTTCCGATGTTCGGTGGCTCCGGTAACGCTGGTCCCAAGGAGTTGTTAGGAACCTGCAGAAACCTAGTGTTTAAAAGTGGAGCACTTGTGAAGCCGAAAATACCCTAACTCACCATTTTCATGGTGTCATGCAAAAACAACCAATGATCATCTATCCTTCTTGTATGTGTTGGTAGTTTGCTTTGAACCTAACTCGATTTTTTATTTGAATAAACGAAAGGTGCGAAATGTTTGCTTATATAGAATAGCTTATTATGACCAGATATAAAACTAGCGTTGAAATAGTAGTAACTGTATTTGTAGTCTTCCTAGGAAACAAAATATGGTTATTTAGAATTGACGAAAAGGTTCTGTCTTGATTACAAATAACTTGAGCTAGATTAGAAGACTTCAGTACTTTTTTCAATGTCATTCGTGGTTGCATAGTTAATAAAAAGCAGTTTCTGATCATTATAAGTGGTTCTGACCTATTACCTATTTACCACTGGTACTATTTCGTATAAAGGCAAGGTACTTGAGATAAATAAACAATAACAACAAAACCGAACTACAGGAGTATCGTAGTTGTTGACTGAAGTAGATTTCTTCACAAAAGACATTATTCTCCATAAAACATTTTTAAATATCTATGTCAGGTGGGCTTATATATTTCTGATTCCGAATTGCATTTATTAGCTTTCGGGATGTAAAGTGAATGGAAAAATTAAGAAACTAGTGTTGTCACGAAAATCATGGCATAGGAATCTATCTAATAAAGCGCCTGCATTACATTTTATGAAGGATTCTATAGTTAAAGTAATCCATTGTGACATCAAAAATAAAATATTCTTCGCTTATTTGTCTTTGTTTTTCTTCTAAAGCAAACTATGTCTATCAATACTAAAAATCAAGAAATTTATCCATTTTTATCCCAACCAACATCATTCTCTATGCATAGTCCAAACTGAAAGTTGAACTTACTGGTATCCATAGATGCCAAACATGTATAATATCAATCCCTGAATTAGTTAAAAAATATTTTGATCAGTTTAAGGTCATATGGAATAGTTGAGTCGTATTACAAAAGCACTGTTCGCAGTACAGTTGGAATTGTTTCTCTTTGATAAGTAATCATCATTCGCTATCAACCTAAATTTAAATGAATAGAATTGATACATTACACACATTACCAATTCTACTATCATCATCATTCTCTTATCTCGTGAATTTTCTTTCTCTCAGTAAGGAAGAACATATCACAGTCATCTGACGCAATTATACAGGATTGATTTTTTATCACAGTAAGTCATACGACACGTAGTTCTCTTACATCTTCCAATCAAAGGATAGATAATCTTGCGAATAAACAATTATTATCATTGTTATTTGTTTGATTCATTATTAATTGTACGTGCATATGTTTCAATCTAAGTTATTAAGTTTACGTTTGAAGGAAAATGGTAAATTAAAAGAGAATTTTCAACAGCGTCACAGGAAAAAATACAAAAGACATCAATATAAACGATAACCCTCACAGCTTATCTTAACGTTTTAGAACATATCGGTTTCTCTTGTTGTAAAATAGAAATACAGTATTTATTTACTGTGTCAATCCACTTTCATTGAAGTTAATCTCTGTCTATTACCAATGTTAATATTTTATAGAAAAAAATACAAGTTGATGATCAGACAAATATATATATATATATATATATATATATATATATATATATATATATATATATATATATATATATATATATATATATATATATATATATATATATATATATATATATATATATATATATATATATTCAAGTAACAAAAGAAACCCATTGTGTCATTGAAGAAAGTATAAAGGTATTTATGCGAAGATAATTCTCTTTTCGGCAATATCATGTACTAAGGCTATGCAATCGCAGTGAATTAATAAATATATGCATCTGCAGAAAAAATAAAAAGAACTCACATTTATCACAGTGTTTGGCGGTTTGTAGGTGTCAAATGAAGGTTGTGTAATGATCTAGATGTTAAAGGAACATAGCAAGACGAGAATAATTTGCAGAACAAAAATATGGGAGATAGATATGAGGAAAAAAGGAAGGACATAGAGGTGATATCAATAGTTGAATAATAATTATGAAGAATTTTAAGAGGGTAATAACATCTGATTACATGTTCATAAGTAAGATGTCATGTAAAGAAAAGTGTCCTTCAAGGAGTGTTGAGTCTTTTGAAGATAAGAGACTGCTCGTATTTAGTCCCTTTATCAAGATGATCAGGGTTTTCCTGATTATTTCTCCACAATGAACTGTAATGACGGGGAAAAGCGATCGTTATAATCTGAGATGATATTGTTGGTGGGTGCAGTACTTAACTACATGCATTATGATCCCTAACTTCTTCGTCTTAAAGGTTGCTTGAATTTTCCATCCAGGAGTGCTTTTCGTGTTTCTTTGGACAGCGTCAAAGCAAATCTTTGTCTATGGCATTTTCTCCGTAATCGGAATATAATAACACCTCTGCCGAAGTCAGTCTTATCTGTCCATGTTGTATTTAATGGGTTTCATTTATTTGAAGCAGATTCAGGTTGTACTCATGTTGGCGGTTATTTGAACATTCCACGTACCTACAGAGGTTGTTGCTTCGGTTGTCAGAATGCTCATCAGTCTTGTGTTTCCCGAAGAATCCTGGCGTTCATCATGACACATCATAAATTTTCTGTGTGACGAAACCCTTTTCTTCACAGGGCAGAGTTTAAAGGGTTTAGATGATTTCTTCTTGTTTGCGTTTTTTGACGAGGTATTGTTGATAACAGTGTATCCATCATTTTTCGTTTAACCGGGCTCGTTACTGGTATTAACCCTAGATGTCTCCAGGCAGATTTTCCATTTTATCAGATGCTGACAAATTCTCTGAAGGAGCCTCTTAAAAGATGACTCTGTCATCAACTTCGAACTCCACGAAAATCCTTCCCAATTTTTTAATAATTTTCTTTTATTTCCCATGAAAATAAATAACTTTTCTTACCAATTATTGATTACTGAGGGGTTAGCATAAATCTCTCAACTCTTCAGATGTGATACCATTGTATGCAACACTATGGATTCATCCAAGTTTTTTCACTCTCTACATGTTTATTTTGTGGAGACCATATGTTTTTGTATGACTATAACGAGAAAAAAACCTTGATATTTGCTTCCCCGTGATACTACCAAGGAAAGCTACTTCTGAAATGTACTCTCTACGTACAATTTAGATTTAATAATGCTTTCTGTAGACGAACTGATAGAGTTGTGATGTAATCATCACTTGACCCCTCCTGACTTGTTCTTTTGTAGGCAATCTGAAAAGACATAAAATTTAAAAAGAGAATTTTCTTCACTGAATTACTTTTAATTAAATAAATACTTGTCAGTTATGTTGTGTTAAAGTTTTTTGCTTATAAAGAATAACAATGATCCGGACACAAAGTAGAGAAGAGACACGTGTATGTCTGTAAGTTCAATGAAAAATGGCTGCTTAATCAGCTAATAGAATTGCCAGTAAAAGTGCTCTAATCGTTTTATGCATTGTTTCTTCAGAATAAGTTGTTTTAAAATTCGATTCAACACCTTTGCATAGAATTTATGTTCTCACTGTCCGATACCCTGTTATACAACTTTCTACCCACTTCTCTTCAACGTTTAATAAGAATTATAAATATATTTTTGTTATATCCCGATAAGTAGAAAAATTGTACTTCTAACGTTTCGTGGCTTTATCTAAGCTACTTTTTCAGAGTTAATAAATAGCCGACATTAAATTAAAACACGCTTTGAACTCGTGTTAATTGCTTCTGATGAAATGTCTTACATTAAGTCACTAAACGTCAGAAATACAATTTTACTACTCATTGAGATATAACAAAAATATATTTATTATTAACTCGCTAGCCAATGTTCAATTTATTTGAAACTATTATGTCCAACCTTAGTATTGATACTTGTTTAATAAGAATATTATGTGGTTACAAAAACAATCTAATTTACCATTTTATCAATACTTGGTTGTTGAAATCTTTTCCATATGACTAATACAAAATTCATCCCTAAATTATCATCACCCCTTAATAATAACGCATTATATTTAGGTAACTGGTATAAATTACATTAATACAACTGCTTGCTTTCTGTATAATTCCACCTTTAGGTGACATATATGCTTTACACGTTGCATTTAATACTTTAAGTATTTTTTTTCTGTTTGTATTTGTTAACTGAATTATCTAAACACAAGTATAAAATTAAAGAAACTATTTTTTATTGCAATCGAATATAAAATAATTCTTATTATTTGACAGGTAATTATAAAATGTTTCGTCTTTCTGCTGGATATGTATTCCAGGTTAATTTATCTAGTTTAGTTGATATGAAGTTAATACATTTTGTCAATGGTTTATCAGAAATATTTGTTCACTTCTCTTTTCTGTGAAAAAAAAAGATGTCCGTTCCTTCTCTAAATTCTCTTAAGTGTCCACAAAGTAACAAAATATTAATTCTATATATATGTATTGTTTTTTCGAAACCTAGAACTTTTTGTTTGTAATTGAATTGGATAGAATGATTTTAAAACTAAGATTCTTACTCATTCTTGCGTCATTTGACAAAAGTTCATATTAGACGTGTTTATGTGTTCAAGTTTAGGTGTTTGTGACAAGTCGAAAGCATTTATTTTCAATAATAGTAATAAAAATATTAATTTGTTTAGTAATCTCATGTGAAACTATTAGGTACTCTCTGTTCAGATTCATATTTCAAACAAAGAACCGGCTTATTATAGTGTTTAAGTACAAATAAACCCCTTAATCTCTGTTCTTCTTACAGTAGGTTAATCTGACAACTGATAAATGTCTGCGAAGAATTAGTTGATAATATTGTAGTCTCTCCTTTTTAATGCTTCTGGATAAAAAACGACTACATTATCATCTGACTTGCAGTCCCTAATATAATTTTGCTAAGTGATTAATAAATAGGACTCGGCTCAGTTTTTGAATATTCTAACTTTTTAGTGTCATTATCCCATAGTTTGTTCCCATTGTTCAATTAAAGATAATTCATAAATATCTGATAACTCTAACTTCAGATACGTGTTATCGTAAACTGCCAATATCAAATTTCTTTATCATTTGCCTCTGGTAAATAAATGATCATAAAACTATGTTCGACAAAGATTGAATTCACTTGCGCCATTGCGATTTCAGCCATGTCACTGTTAGTTACGATAATCACATGAACCCCTACTACGTAGTTTGAACCTACCTACGCTGTTCAGTCCAACAGTCAGTATCTTCATGAATTAAACCTATGGCTTGGTTTGGCTACCCCAGCAAACTTACAACCTACTCTAACAACAGCCATAGCGGCACACTGAGAATAGCCATGCGTAATACATGTCCTAACTATCTCAGTCGTTAATGTTTCACTTCCTCACCAATCAATTAGCTTTCCTAAGTACTTCCTCAGCGGAATTAAACTAGTTAACTAATGAAGTAAACTGACTTTTAAATTCAGTCCATAGGATGCTTCAAAAGTAGAATATTCATGTCCGTCCATCATTAAATTGTTTCTTGTTGACTAGTTTGTTACTGGAAACAAAACCTAATTTATTAGAAAAAAACGTACTCAGACTTCGCTTACACTTATTTCAGTCATAGGTAACTAGTCGGCAATTATTGCACGTAAATTCTAGGAAATGAGTGTAATTTATCAACATTTGTCAGCCTTGTATGTTTCACAACAAAAATGTCAACTCAAAGTAATTTTTATTTCAATGAATTCTTGACATGTTAATTTCGTATAATTATCTTACATTTAAACACTAGGTCATTTACATGCACTCAGTGTATGAAGTCATGTGCGTAAGATTCACTGAATTATCAACTCAGTTTGTCTTTAATCTACCATGTGATTTTTATTACTATTTTTGTGCACCTTATAATAAAAGCTACGATACCTAATTAGCAATGATGTTTTTTGATAACGATTATTTTATTGCATCTGTAAAATATTGATGACAAGATGACCGCACAGACTTTAATGTAAGTCATACGTATTTCTTCATCCCAAGATTGAACTTCAGATAGTAGGTTGGATGTGGACGAATAATTATTAAGTAATCTTGGTCGAACTCTCGTCTCTTAAATTCGAGATCTATAAATATCAGTCTTCAAGTAATGTTTATTTAGCAGAAGAAACAAATGCTTGATATTTCCCTATATCCAAATTTTCCCATCGCGTTCACTAAATATTTTGCTATGTGTGAAATTGGTGCTTTTTAGCATGAAAGGTTCTTTTGATATAACTGACTGTCACTGTCTGCTGAGCTGTAACACCGAATTCCCGACCTGTATCTTTCAACCTTACAAGTCATCTAGCTGCGTACTAAAATTACCTGGTACAAATATTATTCCTGAGTATTTGGCTTTTGATTGGGATTGACCGTAAAGTGAGTATATGACATAAAAGAATGCTGCTTGGAGCCATTAACATACCGTTAATTACATAGTATTTTTGTCATCTACATATTTTCCAAACCTTAGTTCTGAGAATCCATGGAGCAAGCGACGTCGTGTTGTTTTTAAGGTCTACCTCTGCAAGCTCAAGCATTGAAATCATTCTTTTTCATTGTCACAGGGACATTTTCTTCAAAAACGTTTCATACTTTCATGACGTTTTTAACCATGATGTAGTTACAATGGATGATCAGAGGTATGAGTCTTGCTCGGAGCGAATTGCGTATAAATTTTCATTAGCAATTGCAAACATCAAATGTAGCTTGCTTCTTGTTATGCGACATTGTTTGATGAAAATTTTGTGTGATAGATAAAAGACATGAGTGATATACTACTACTGTTCAAGCCTGACCGATCTGTATGATGAACGTATTAACTATAGGTAATTTTCTTCTAAAGCTCAAACTTTTAATTACGACTAAAAATTTCGTTTTCAGCTATCATTTCGACCAACTGTTGAAGAGCTGCGTCGTCGTAAAATTATTCGTTTTAATGATTATGTTGAAGTTAGTGAAGCAGATGCCTATGATCGTCGAGCTGATAAACCATGGACTCGTCTAACTCTACGTGATAAAGTAAGTTCCTACAATTTTTTTCTGGAGAAAGCTAACTATTAGTATTTTCTAAATGCACCTTTACCATAATCATGTGTTTTCATGCTGCAAATGGTAAGCGATCTCGTCGAACCAACGAATTACAATACAGTGAACGTTTATTTTCATCACAAAACTTCATGGTACGTACACTGTTAATCCATTCATTATTTATTCAAATCAAGGGTGAATCAGTAGTTTTACTAATAGATAAAGTAGCAGCTAACACTTTTTTTAATTCTTGCCACCAAACCCTTAGCAACAACACAATATCCCTTATTCCCTAAACAATATAGGCTAACACTTCTAGATTGCGACTAAATGGGTTACTAATCCCTTATTGCTGAAAGGTTTCAGAACTTATTCATTTACATATTATAACAAAATTTAGATAATGGGATTCTGTGAGAGAATATTTTCGTGCTATTTTATGGCAATTATAAAAAAATTATCAAATCTTAGATGGTGGTTAGTGAAGTGAGTGAAACGTATCATGCCGACATCATAGACTGTCAACATATATTCACTCAGGCTAAAACTCACTCCGTTCTATGCTTTGTTCGAAAAAGTACTTGTAGTTTAACCTTATATATACATTTCTGATACTACAAACTGTTAGATTTAATAGTGTTCTTCACTATTATACATACCTAGTAGCAACGATTAACATTTCGCTTTAACACTTAATACATTCTTATATCGGAATGAGACACAACCAAACCTACCGAAAAACTTTGCAAGCTGTAGAGCTAGAATGTACATCTTGGTGGATATCCTTTTATCAAATAACAAATTAGGAGTCGTTTCATAACCGTAAAAGTAAAATTAACAATATGATATAGCCGTCTAAACATTATTTCTAGGCTGATATTAGAAAAGAATTAAACGAATTCAAAGCAACTGAAATGGATGTTCATGCTGATAGTCGACATCACACTCGGTGAGTATTAATTTGCTAGCAAATTTTATTCTATTTTGTAATATATTTCCATCAATCTTAGCTACCATTGCACCAACACAGATCCAATGATTTGGTGTTCCCATACATATAAATAATAGTGGCTTCCGTTCATTCATAGCAGCTAAGAAATAAAGTTGTTAGCTAGGCAAGATTGTAACTACGGTACACACGCCACTGTGTAATCTGATAAACACAAATCTAGCAGTTTTGTATGGACGTATTTATATTTCATTATTCGTACTCTTGTTTTTAAGATGAGTAACTACAATAGATATGAGCATGAACTCACGCAGAGATAAGGGCTATTTTCAAAACCATAATGCAAACATCAATGCCTGTAATAAAAGTTGTGTAAACACGAATGTCAGAAGAGTTTAACACCTTGATTAAAGTGATGTGCAATCTACTTGCGAATCTTTTCTCAAAGCAAACCAACAAAAGATATCTTTTGATCGTGCATGATTTACGATCTGATGAGCTACTTATTTTAACTTGTGTGAGTTTGTCTTCTAAACCTGAATCGAACTCCCTGAAGATTTCGTAAATCTTTTATGTCGATTCCCCTTTTACCAATAGTTCACCATTACATATTGAGGTTTATACTTAACACAGAATGTGTATAAACGGTCGGTAATATCATAAACTAACATGTGTTTTACGTTACGATAACTACCGTAGTTTATCCATTATATAAACAATCCTCATTTGTATTTTTATAGATATCACAAACCATAGACGCCTATCTTCCGCATCCTGCAAAATAATTCAGCGACTGCCGTTCACTTCGTTATAGAAACTGTACGTTTGTAGTTATTTTTTGAAGCTAAATCTAGTTTATTTCTAAAAATAACTGGACACATTCGGAGACCAAACAATTGTACATAGTGTAATGACCTGTCAAAAATGAAATTTTATATTGACTTTCCAAATTTTATGGCTCACTTTATTATTGATTATTGTATAGTTTAACTCTTTCATTTCACTGTGATTATAATAATTGGTTACAAATACAAAAACTAACTTGACCGATTTTGGGTCTTTTACATGAAACTTTGTGTACCATTTGACAAAGCTAAGGGAAGTCAGACTATCTATCAAGAAGGACAGATAATTAGCCAGATGATAAGAATCTCGACTCAGACGGTTAAACTTTTAGAAACCAATTTGTCTAAACTCGGCGTATGAAAGAATTAGTATCACTCATCAAATCAATCAAGTGGAATACAGAAAACATTTCCGAAACAGCTTCCCTGTTGAATTTAAGTGATAATGAAGTTTATTTTCATTGCAAAGTTAGCTAGCAGTTGACTAAAAAAGAATGCATATTTATGCGCTAAAATCGTGGATCATGCACTTTTAAAAGTTATATACAATTTAAAATAAATAAACTGCTTTTATAATTTCATCTCAGAGACCAGGTGAACTGACAGTTTCTTCTCGTACAGATGTTAGACTTATGCAGGTTTGTGTACATTAAGACGTGGAAGCATCTGACCGAAAGGTGAATATTGCTTTTCAAAGAATAATATTTTAGAAGCGTATAATGCACTGCTCGATTCACGAAACATTTTTGGATGACAAAACCTAATGCTTAGCGAATTCTTATGCTCACATTAAGCTTATTTGAAGATTTGTGCATTTCGACTAAATTTTAAATGACAGGACATGTTCGCTAATTATTTATCACATAGCTCAGTGGTGATTGATCCGATGTCGAATATTCTATAATCGGACACATTTTTTCTTATACCAGTCGATAAACAAACAATAATGAAAGCCCAACAGCATATTTTATTTGCCAAATTTCTGACCACACAAACAATGCTGAATCAAGAAAAGCAATTTCGCAGTTAAATGAGTCGCTCAGAAGTCTGGATGGTTATAAGAGCTGAAAAACATTAACAACTAGCAAACACGGCGATTTTTTAAGACAAATTATCACAATTTCATGAAAAGAAAATGATGACAAACGTCCATAACGAACGGCGTTTTATAAAAATTTCAGGTTTAAAAAAACGGGTTTATTCAACAGAAATTGTCAATTTTTCTAGGCTGTGCATTTATGAACTTCATACGGTACTCCCAGAAGGATCCTTACATGCATTCTTCTCTATGAAATGAGGCCCATATAACAGAATATATGCACAATGCCAATCACCCCCTCCAGATAAGCGCAAAATATCTTCTGAGGTCACTTGGCTGACACGATCGTCATCAAATTTAAACCACATTCCTACATAGTGATTGAAATGAATAAATAGTGGAGCATGAATTTTTGGGAGCAAAATGGTAGTTGTTTTTTATTAGACGTTTAATATGAACTTGCTTGACAAACAGCTGCTTATAGTGACACCAAACTATTTTTTCTACAATGAATCATGTAGTGTATAAAGGTTTTTGAAAAGCGTCATTCAAACAAAAACCCAACATTCTGCTAAGGGAAATGTATATGATGTTTAGAATATGTTTGCGGCTGATAATAATCAAGATTCTTTAATACTCTGTTCTCTTTGAGCTTAAAGAGACAATGAATTATATGGTGTAATTCCTTAAAAATGTATTAGAACTAGGTTTAACATATGCTTAATGAGTATCGAAACTTTTACTGAGGAGTTCGAATGTTTTGCCGAAAAATTGTAATTTTTTTCTAGAATAAATGTCTAGCTAGTCTAAAATGACAAGGAATAGTACAGATACAAGGGTTCATGAGATCTAAAATGTTAGGTATGACGTGCTAGATTCCAGTTTATGCTTACAATAATTGGGGGGTGTAATTAAACGAAAATCATAGAAGACTGATGATTAGGTATTGTTTGTAACAACCTTGAAAGTAGTTTGAATATTAGTGGCCATTTTGCTGTCTGGATATCCTGTGTGCAATGTTTCTTGCTGATCTAGATTCATTTTTCATTTAGTCTACCTGTCTTTATGAAAAGATTTTAAAATATGAAATACTTATTACATGTTTATACCTCGTAAAGCATACCTTGTTTTTTCACCCAAGCAACATAATGCCCACTAGTACTTGTCCTACCTTGGTGGCTCAAAACACCTTGAAGATCGTAGTACCCAGAGTTATTCGAACCGGGATCATCAGCGAAAAAGTTAGGTTCGTACAAGTCAGGATTTTGGAATGGATCAGGTCGTACAGAATCTGGAAGAAATGTGTCAATGAATTAGTTTACGTGAATATGAACATATCCGTAAATATTTGGAATCATCACAGATGGAACATTTGGCTAAACCCACTTTTAGTTGGCTTATGGCATTCGTAATATTTATCTGGCAATTGCAATCACCAAAAATAGTTCTGACCTACGGTTGTAAAACTGGGACGCCTGATAAACTGAATGTCCGGTCGCTGTTTAGTTGTCCTGACCCTACAGATAAACCATGTTGTTAATTACAGGGTTCAGGAATGTATCTCACCATATTTTAATATTGGTCGTCATATTGACATACTGAGTTCGATGACTCGGATATGTTCTAAGAACATCACCCTATCATTATCATTATTTGCCGGCTGTCATCGTTTATATGTCTTAGTGTTGATCACACTTGGAGTATTGTTTCTGAAAAGTATTAAATTTAGTCAACATATCATTGTTGGAAATTTCACCGTTTTGTTTCACTTGTCATGTAGACAGTGTTCACTGGAAAACGTTCAATGTAGTCGCAACAAATATTATACTTACCCTAAAAATAACTAAGTGATGGCTTTGCCAGTCGGATTTAGTATATGCTCTTTGAACGATGACCATTGCTACTTTTTCGAACTTCGAAAGTCTTAAAAAAACTTACCTGCTTTTATTGTCTATAAATAATAAAACCCAAAAATAACGTAACGTTAAAACAACGTTTAAAATTACGTTACATAACCACTTATCAGTAATACAAACCTGGTTTACTTTTGAAAGTATTTGTTTGACTTGAGGGATTAACCACTTCATCTTCTTTGAGGCGCTGTTTTTCACGCATGGGTAGTAATTTCCGCTGCAACTCAGGCGTACAAAATTCGTGCATATCCAATGTTAGTGGAAATTTTACATCCTTTAAAATCTATAAAATAATACGCATAGTAGTATCACGAATTTTTTAAAAGCTTTACGACCTTCAGAATAAAGATTGATCATTTGGAACTACGAGATACATCTTTTAGTAAAAATGTACCAACGACGCTCCTCAGACCTTTTACTTTGCATCACAAGGATTTTCATAAGCGTGAATTTTATACGAAAACTGTCTTTTGAGATCAACAACTTTTATCATAAAAAGTGTAGTTAGTTTAAATTGACGAACCACAAAGCTGAAATATACGTAACACAATAATCAGAATTTGCAGCTTATACAGCGGGATAATTTAGAGAGGATCTCCGAGTATTTTCTACGAACATGACTGTTAGTTATCTCCAAGCAGGAACATTTCGGACTGGCAACAGTAATTATTCGTTTTCTTTTAAAGTTGTAATTTATACATAAACTGGACATTTATAGCCATTATTACAATACACTTACTGACGTACCTTAGCATTAATCTGTTTATCTTCCTTGTAGAAGAAGCGAACAAAATGAATACATAAGTAAGCTGGAAGCCGACTAATAAGAGACAGACGTTTATAAACTGCGTTTCGATCCAGCAAAGATGAATGCTTAGTTAGATTTCCCGTTAATCCATTTCGAATACCAGTGAGCAAATATTTTACATCTGCAGTAATTAACAAATAATATTATATAAATCAAAGCAATCTATTTTGATGGGAATCAAATAGATTTGGCGTTAAGAATCATTCATACATAGGAAATTTAATAGGAGCTTCGATATCATCACTTAAGCACTTCAACATGCACATAGCAGATTTAGCAATCGCGAAACAGCACCTGGTACCTCTTTTAAACATATCTAGTATCATGCAAAATTCTAGACAGTTAACAACTACCTTCATGTTTACAAGCAGACAAATGAGTACCATTCCAGGAAACAATTTCACTGGAAATGTTTGGAATAAATATCATAAGCTTAAGCCTAGTAAGTTACTCATCACGTCTGTTTAACAAATCATATATGTAATGAATCTTACTCAGCATAATCCCATTAATTTAGCCTCGTTAAACGTAATTAGTAAGATGATCTAGTTACTAAACAGCATTAGCTTAGATAATGAAACTAGTAATTTTTGATTTAGATTTAAACAGGTTGGAAAGCGTTAAACTGCCAGTGTTGAGTACTGGTGTGGTTGTTTTTGATGGAAAACGTGGAACCTTCTCTTCAATATTTATTATTATTATCCTTTTATCAGTGATAGTTTTGGTACTAAATTATACCAGAATTTATACGAGACATAAATATAAAGTACGGTAACATAATTGACTTTTAACTTAGAAAATTGAGCATACTGGTTTTAATCGTGCTGTCAGACACTAAGCATTATATAAAATAAAATATATTTTACGTACTGAAAAGATTCAATTTAATGACGTTAATTAAAATCTTACCTTGATGCATGAAGCAAGAAAGTTGAGTAAACGTTTCTAGACTATCTGTTTCGGGTTCATCTGATTCAGTACATGTAAGTTTGCAAGATAACTGACCAGCAAGAAATCTTTCTATAGGATTCCATTGGGATGTTGTACAAAAACTTTGAGGCAAATTCTAAATTTTAAACGTAGAAAGAGGTGTGAATATTTTGTGAACCTGAGTTTATCATAGAATATCATCTATAGGAACATTTATAGTTGTAAAGGGCACGATTTGTGAAGTCAGTCCCCGTAAGGTATTGATTTGATGACTTTTGAAAATACTTTATTCTAACCCATACAGCTTTTCACTGCTTTTACAATGAACCCTATACATTTTCAAACTGCAGCAGATAATATACTTAACTTTGTGCTTGGTAACGAATAATGAAAACCCCTTGTCGCGCCGTTATTAAGTTGTCTTAATGTATGGTTATTATAAGATTATAAACCAACAGCGAAATATTCAAAAATAATGAAATATGAACAACATAGAAAAGTTACCACTGTTGACGCATAAACTTGAGAATCAATCTTGCTACTCTGTAATGCTCTGATTAGCTCTGTCCAACATTCACTAGCATCTTGTTGTTCGAAGCCATGAGTAATCATAGATAGAGCACCTGGAGCGGATTTACTTGCATCAGAAGACGATGCACGTGAGGCGAACTGCGGACAAACACTGTGCAAGCAAGTCAAGAAGAGCAGAGGAGTAACCGGTTTTTCAGTTTTGCTTAGGGAATTGAACAAAAACTTCAAGCTTTCGCACAGGGAATCAAGATTCGGCGAATTCAGTGAAGTTTGGGGAAAACGGCATCTGTGTGAAGGAAAAAAAGTTTCATACACACAATGTTTTCACTGTTATTAAGATTACCAGACTTCTCTTATTTATACAGCTATTAAGGACTAAGAGCAAACTTAAAAATAGTACAGTTTAAAAATACTAAAGCTATGTATCAGTAAGCTGAGTCATCATAAGAATTTAACTGAACTGCTTCTTGGTTAATTGATCTTAACAGCAATGATAATTTCGAAAACAAATGGCATATCATTTTAAAAGCTTAAGACAAATAAGAACCTTGGCCAAAAATACCACGTTCCTACTCACTCAACGTAGAACTTCGTACGTACGTACATCAGTTACAGTTGCCACACCACATTAGCACAGAGATGCAGTGGTCAATTCAAATCCCATAGTGGTAGAGGTAGTAAGAGTATAAGCAGTAATCAGGAAAATTAGTGTTTGGAGATGTTATTTAAAGAGTATAATACAGTGAAATAAATTTGGAAAGAGAAAAAAAGAGACAAGGAGGAATAAGATCAAAATTTGGGAGAACACAAAGAGTATATGCACCTGCGTCATTGCAAACGATTTTGAGCCATGTCATTCTGGGTCTCTAACTATTGGTTGCTATCATCTCGCGGTCTCCAACCAGGTAGTCTACACCTACCAACATGACTCAGTCCACTTGTCAGTGACTTCATGGACTTGTGCCATGTTTTGGTCTGGCCGCCCCTAGCTTTCTTCCAACCTACTCCTGTACCACTGAACATCTCACGTCGAGGCAGTCGGTCGTTGGGCATACGTAACACATGTCCCAGCCATTTCAACTGATAAATTCCCACCACTTCATCAATCGATTCGCTATCCTTACCTAGTACCCGTTTCCTAACAGCTGTGTTACTTACTCGATGGTCCCACGATATACGAGCAATATTTCGAAGACACCTATGATCAAATACTAGTAACCTACGAATATCCTCTACTCTTACCGACCATGTTTCACAGCGATAAAGTAGGATGGAACGAACTGCTGCGCAGTAAACACGTCCTTTGGTTGATAGACGGATATCTCGCCTACGCCATAAATGACGCAAGTTGGCAGAAGCTAGTCGAGCCTTCTGTATCTGTGCTGAGACTTCGTCACACACCAGATCACAAGGGCTGATGAGACTTCCAAGATAAGTGAAGCGGTCGACACGCTCAACTACTTCACTCCTACTCACTGAGGAAACCAGTAGTTAGTTAATTTGTACAATAACTTCATGGTATTTTTAGGACTCAAACCTACCACTGGAGGGCGAAACTTGCTAAATAGAAGTCGTCCAAATATATTGTTAATCGAACATATAATCATTGTTCCAATTAGTATGCAACTTATTTCAATGTGAGTGGTTTTATACATCGATTGACCTCGTCCAGCACAACCTTACACTACTTTAATATTTTTTATCACTGCACAAAAGGATGACAACTAACCAAGAGATTCCCAAACCTATAAAAATGTTTGCTCATACCCCAAGTAATAAACTGAAAGTCATTCTGATAAATGCATTATCGTATTCAAATTAACGGCCCGTTAAAGTCGCGAAATTCGAGCTACTATGGTTGACAGAATTTTCATTAGCTTCGTATATTAGCATTTGAACCAATACGTCATAAGTTTAGGATAGATATGGTACATTTACAGGATATGAATTACGTGCACAAAACCACATTACATAAAATAGCGGACAAAAAGATTTTTGAAGTCAAGGTTGATTTAGCTGCATGTGAACCACACCATGTAAAAGAAAATGTAATTATTTAACAGGCCAGCATCTTAAGAGTAAGCTTCTGAATATAATACAAAAAATCCCAGCAATCATCGTATGAGTAGCTTTGAAAGCACATCTGTCTAGTGCAGTTGTGAAGGTCTATCTAGTGTTAAGTAAATGTGAAAGCAAAATTACACGAAATGCTTACTCCTGATGAATATTATATCCAATACATAATTCAAAATGAATTTGTCTCTTCATTATTATTATTATGTCATTACAAACGAATCGAATAATAGATGCTTGCTTCGAACAAACTGGCCGGAAGGACAGGAGTTACATCTAACTTGTTCTCGAAAAATTGTCTTGGGATATTTCGTTGAGCTCCCACAGCTTGGGCAAATATTTTTAAAACTGACAAAATAATTATAAAAGTATTTTTACTCGATAACGAAACCAAACTGACCTTTTGAATAAGTTTATGGCCAAAAAGATTCTCTTTTGGTATAATGAATTATTATAAGTTCTTAGTGACAGGTTCGAGACTTGAGTGGCATGTTGATTCGGAATTAAAATTTTCACTGAGAATGATGCACGAAACTGGACAAACCATCAAAATTAATATAACTCAGCTTCAAAAAATGGCCAGTCGGTGTTCAAAACCCAACGTAAAATACTTACCGGCAAATTGACTCCCAAAATATATTCTTTATGGAATTGAGTAGAATATTCCAACCAACTTTATTATTCATTAAACACAATGGTACAAGCAGGCACCACATAGATCATTTGGTTTGTGTGAGGGCTGGGACACTGTTTGGGTGCCCAAAACGAAGCGGTGAGTTTTCTCATGGAGCCACACCCCAAGCCTTCGGCCTAAAGGCCTAATCCACAAGACAGTCGGGCAACCTAAGATGTAATACCATGGTAGCCGGTGACCAACAATAGGTTTACACGCCATTTGTTTCCTCAAAACCCCGTAGCCCATGTACACTATTGGTTTAAAGTCAGGGTTTTCCAACTCCGCTTGGTGAACCTCCGAATCCACCAACCCAGTTAAGGCGACAGATATTCCCTTTTCGTCTTTTCAGTTTCGTAAAGGACGCCCCCGACGCGAGAAGGCAGTGAGTAGGACTTTCCTGAGAGTGGTAGCCTGTACGAGGCCATGTGAGAGCATTTCGAGAGAGTTGACTCATCAGACTGTCGACTGCGTCATGGCATTTGGGGGCTGTCATAAACACAGATTAAACAAAGTCAGTTTCGAAGATCATCATAGTGAATACTTAAAAACAATTATAACCATTGACGGTAAGAGTATAGTGAATATTAGTCTTTAAGGACTAAGGATAACATATTATGATTTACCAATTTTTTCTCCTATTATCGTTAGTATACCTAGGTTTCTGCCTGGAGGTTTGGTGATCCACTGCGACTAGACACGAAAGCTTCTTCTATTCCGTCCACAACCATTTGAACTGCAGATATGGGGATACTGTAGTACACTACATACTAGCACTTGCGCTATCGTTATAAAAGCATATTTGTTTATCATCGTAATACCCGACTTATACAGATGTCAAGATATTGGATAAAAGTTTGATATTAAAAGTATTTATATGAACTTACATCTGCAAAGCTAAACGCAATTCTGGGATTGAGAAAAGCAATTGCACAGCTGCATTCATATAACAAGTGTTGCCAAGATTAACGAGGCCAGGCGGTAGTTTTATAGTGTCTTCAGTGTAATGCGCAACTTTCGAATCATCCAAACAAGGGGTTTCGGAAATTGGTACTTCGTCAACAGACCCAACAAGCATGACGTTAATTCCCTTAATGATAAACATCAGGATATAAGATCCTTACATCCTTCAGTTTAATGCCATTGTAATCTTTATCGCCTAATATTCCTCCAGGCATCATAATTTTTTGACGGTCGGGAGGAACACCAGTAAGCGAGAAAAGTAACGCCTTGAATAACTCGGGACACTCATCGGTGTTACATTCCACATTTGAGTACTTATTCTTCTGCCACTTTATATTCACTGTTCACAAAACCCATTAATTTGAAATGTTATTTTGCATTGTTCAAACCTTTGTAAACCGGCATTAGAATAAATAACGTGAACCAGGTAGTCAGGAAATGTTTAAAGATTAAAACTATAACAAAAATAAAGAAAATCTTCGAAAAATGTCAAGCGAGATATGATGACTTACGTTGGTTGCCAACTAATGCAAATAACCTAGTGATTACTCATATCCTGAACGTATACACTCCAGTACACATGACTCCGCCAAGCACGCAACTGTTTAGTTTAGGCGCTATCCTTTTAAACCTCTGGTTATGTGTGAACGAAATAACAAACAGGCAACTCGTTGTATATATTACTGTATTATGGTATATAGTTAAAAAATGTTGAAGAAATCATATTCTTCTTTACAACTTATCGATTCGAGAAAAGAAAGATTACTCAGTTATGTTAATAAGAATCACCTTGTAGAGTTTTTCTTCTCAGTAGACACCTGCTCGGTCCAGAGCCTAAATCTTTTTTTAAGAATAGGCAGGCTCAGGGTCCCTGGACACAACAGTGGTTCCCAAAAACCCTGTAGGTGATTCGACCCACGTTAAGAGAGCCCAAAAGAACCAGGCATCACCGCCTAAGCCGAGCAACCCAAGTGTTGCTGCACGGAAAATAACTGGTGATTTGGTCGCACAGTCTACCCCCAAGACTGTTCGTCCGGTCAATAAAGAGCCCAAGATTCAAAAACGCACACTGACCTCCAAACAACAAGTTATTAAACCTGAACCCATCGTGAAACCTGGTAAATTAACAACAGTTCGTGACGATTCTCTCATTATCATGAACCTCGTTGACAATCCTGACCTTCCTCTCAGTCTGCAGGACAAAAACGACAGGATGCTCTGGGGTGAATTGAACAAGAAGCTTGAACTTCCTAGAATAGAGCCTTTGACGGTCACCCGGCTCACTCGAGGAAAGGATTCTAAGCATCTAAATCACCCGAGGCTTCTCCGAGTAACATTTAAGAATGCTACCGACGTAGAGGACGTCTTGCTAGCAAGTCACTTGCTGAAATCAGATGGTAACGTAAGAATATTGCCCGACATACCGTACTCTGAGCGCAATATCATACGAAACATCCCTAAAGAATCTCGCGAGAAGTTTTTCCGCGGAAGAAACATAATTGTCAAGGTATACCGGAAAATGCAGACCCTACTCAATCACATTCTGACATCAGGGAATGGAAATTCATCAAACAGTCCTTGAGGCTCAAACACATACTGACTCAGCATGTGACGAGACTAGCCAAGAAGGACGGTGACCCCAGACCCCGTCTAATGAAGATAACCTTCCCATCTTCCCACATGGCGGCTGCAGTTCTGGAAGCATTTCGTGCTAATAGACGTCGATTGCCACCTGGAATCCACATGCACCCGGATAGGCCATACGAAGCTAGGACCAAGAACAAAGGCAAGTTGGAGCTGACCATTCCACTTGTGGACTGTCTAAACGATAAAAAAACGTGTAAAGGACAGGGCCTACCACCTCGGCAAACCTCATATAGGTGGGCTACCTGTCCATTCACATAAGGTTCATACAGAAAAACAGGACGAAGCTCACGCGTTCCAAATTGAAAGCATAAACTGCTTATATATGAACGCCGCGAGTCTACCAAACAAACTGGATGAACTACGTGAACTTAGCAACGCTAATAAGGCCCATCTGATAGGAATATCTGAAACCTGGATATCTTCTCAGTTCTCGGACCAAGAGTTAGCATTACCTGGGATGACTTTGTTCCGCAACGACAGAAAAACAGGAATTGGGGGCGGAGTAGCCATATACATAAGCTCTTGCTTGGAGGTGCACCAAGTTCACAACCTCGAGTTTAACAATCTTGAGGAATCCATATGGTGCTCTGTAAGATTGTCTAGTACTTCGAGGTGTCTAGTCGGAGTCATTTACAGGAAGCCAACTGCCGACATCGAGTACGATAGTCGTATGCTGGAAGGACTATCCCGCTCTATCCGTCTCGGTTTCACACACATCCTGATTCTAGGGGACTTTAATCTCCCTAGAGTCAACTTCGCGGAACACACGTACACTGGAGGCGACAACTCAATTGAAGCTCGGTTCTACAACCTCATCGATGACTTGGGCTTATATGAAAATGTGAGGTCGGCAACTCGTTGGAGAAACAGTCAGACACCATCGCGCTTAGACTGTGTATTCACTAACGAAGAATTCCTAGTCGACAACCTCTCAATCCTGGCTCCTCTGGGAAAGAGCGATCATGCCGTCATAGCCTTCAGTTTTGTCATCAAAACTAAGCTAAGGTATCCCAACAATAATTTGCGTTGGAATTTTAAACGGCTGAATGTCCCAGCTCTACATGACTATCTACAACAGGTGGCTTGGGATGTTCACCCTCAACTCGATGTGGATGGTCATTGGGACTTCTTACTGCACACGCTCTTATGTGCTACAAACCATTCAGTTCCTCAAACGGTTCCCAAAAGCTGCAAGCCACCTACAGTAATCAAGAACCGTACCCTTCGCCTGCTAAGCCGCAAAAGGCACTGTTGGGCGGAATACAAACGAACTAATAACGATGGAGCGTATAGGCAATATAAACATATCAGGAACATATGCACGAAGGCTATAAGAGAAGACAGGCTTCAGTACCAAACAAAGCTTATGGACAAATTCGCCTCTAACCCTAGAAGCCTATTCCGTTATGCAGCCTCTCTTCGTCAAGCCAAAACAGGAGTTTCTCAACTGGTAGGTCTTAACGGCCCGACCAACAACGATGGCGACGCCGCTAACCTTCTGGCGGCACATTACTCTCAAACATTTCAACCGGCTGACATCAACTTTACTGACGACAGTTTCATCTGCAATTCCACAGGACTTTCTGAAGTGGACCTAAGCGCTGACTTGGTGTTCCGGAAATTGCAGCACTTAAGACTAGACACTTCTCCTGGCCCGGATATGGTTCATCCTGCCATACTGAGGGAGGCAGCCTCAATCCTGGCAACGCCGCTTAGCGTGATGTTTTCACACTCGCTTAGCCGAGGCAAATTACCGGAAAATTGGAAGTTGGCTCACATCACACCAATTTTCAAAGGTGGTCGACGCAATGAACCTTCAAGTTATCGGCCGGTGGCTCTTCTGTCATTACCTTCAAAACTCATGGAGTCCCTGATATGCGACGGTTTAAATGACTATCTACTGTCCTTAAATTTCTTCTCACCCCAACAGCATGGTTTCAGGAAGGGTTACTCTTGTATAACCAACCTGCTGACTGCGGTGGACAGATGGACAAGCATCCTCGATTGCAAGGGAAAGGTTGATGTCATTTACCTTGATTTCTCAAAAGCTTTTGATAAGGTTAACCACTTGTGTCTTATCAACAAGCTCAAACGACTAGGTATCAAACCACCTCTAATCGATTGGCTTACTTCATACCTAAAAAATCGACACTTTAAGGTTAGGGTTAATTTCACTTTATCTCAGGCTATGGAATGTCCTAGTGGGGTCCCCCAGGGCTCAGTACTAGGGCCTCTTCTCTTCTTGATCTACATAAATGATCTTCCTCAACAGGTAACGTCAGACTTATTACTTTTTGCCGACGACGTGAAACTTTGGAGAGAGATACGCAACCAAGACGATACACAGGCACTTCAGGAGGATCTGACTCGACTTCAAAGTTGGGCAGACGATAACGGACTTACCTTTAACACTTCAAAGTGTAAAGTAGTCCATCTGCGACATGTTGCAAACTACAGTTACAACTTAGGAAACTCCTCTCTAGTAGTATCCCAAGTCGAAAAAGATTTAGGAGTCCTGGTGCCCCATGATTTAAAGTCTTACGCTAACTGTGACAAAAATGCCTTCCGAGCAAACCTTGCACTGGTAACGTTGAGGCGCATTTTTGGCCAGTTTGACGGAAGAACTTTCCACACAATCTTCAATAGTTTCATCCGTCCCCATTTAGAGTACGGAAACATAGTACTCCCCCCTCACTCCAAAAGGACAAGGTCACTTTGGAGCGTATCCAACGGCGAGCCACGAAATCAGTTCGAGGACTCAAATCTAAGCCTTACGAAGAACGCCTCCGTTCACTAGACCTTTACCCATTAGAATATAGGCGTCTTAGAGGTGATTTATTAATGGCTTATAGTATTCTTAACACTTCTGGACATCCTCTTAAACACCTACTTAAGCTTAGTTCGAATAATAACCTAAGGGGTAACACCCAGAAACTGGAAACACAACATAGCAAGACGGAATGTAGACACAACTTCTACTCCTTAAGAGTTGTCAAAAGCTGGAATTCGCTGCCAGCCGAGCTAGTCCAAGCGACTTCTCAGGAGTCCTTCAAGAGGCAACTTGACCTATTCTTAAGGACCAAGGACAGCATCACATTATGATTTACCAATTTCTTTTCCTCTTTTATTGTTAACATACCTAGGTTCCTGCCTGGAGGATTTGGTGATCCCCTGCTACTAGACACGGAAGCCTGTTAAGCGAAAGCTTCTTCTATTCCGTCCACAACCATTTGAACCATTTGAACCTCATCTCCATTTTTTTAACGGCGAATTTCATGACCCTCAGAAATACTTAGAGAATCTTCGCCTGTTTTGTGAAAGACGCGCGCTATCTAAAAGGACAGTGGTATTGTTTCGGCACACTATGTGTGTTAAGTCACGGATTTTCGTGCACATTTAACATATTGTCGTGGATTTTTTCTGTCGTTATTCATCAGTTATTAGCAGGCTTTTTTTTCATCAGACATCAATTTCCGTAATGCTTGTGCTTTTAACATAGTTTTTACTCCAATTTATTAGCAGTTTGACGTATTTCTTGCTCACCACGTAAGTGAATCTGTAGTTAGCGTAATATAGTTATTTGTAACAATACAAACTCAAGCAAGTAAATTTCACCATGTTTCTAGTCAAAAAGTAGATCGCAGATTGAGTTTTCATGAAATTAAGCCGTAAAATCCAATACATATGGTTCACCTCCTTGATTGTGGTGACGGTGAACATGGATGTCGGTAGTTGTTTTTAAAATGTAAGTAGAAGCAATAAAGCGTTAACCTAATTGTGAATATCATATAATTTGTTTGTATTTAGCCATAAAAAGTTATATCCATTAGAGGTACCATCGTTTTGTACTGAAGTGACATATTATTATGTAACGTATCTGAAAAAAATTATGTGAGTAACAACTGACGTTGATAGTGAACAACGATATAACACTAAGTTCTAACGACAATTCTAAACTAATGCAGTAGTACAAGTTCTTAATTCTCACGCACAATTATT